TTCTCGAAAGGACCAGGGGATATACAAAAATAATCTGAGTAAAAATATTAACAATAAAAAGTTTTAAAAATAATTTATCGTCGATGCTGTCTTAACAGGCAACATAATACTTTTTACCTATAATAAATGAAAAATCAAATTGATGTGATATTTGCAAGCAAGGTAGCTTTTTTCAATAAAAACCGAAATTGGAAACTGGATATTTAAAGTAAATTTGTAGGAAAAAAATATGTAACTACGTTGTAAAAATAATACTGATGGAAAATCTCACATTTAATGTGTTATTATAATTTTTTTTACTTTTTGCAATTTAAAACAAAACGTAAAATACTTTTAATGTTGTAAATACTAAAGAAGTAAAAGGTAACAATTTTGTAATTTTTTGTACTTTTCATGATGAAATTGATTTATAAATTATTACTTTTCTTGACTTTCTTCGCAATATATAACAAAAACGATTTCATTTCAGCTAAACATAGCATGTGTTTTAATGTACTAAAAATTGATGTTGCTCAGATTGCTATGTGTAGCCTTTTTTTTCATAAAAAAGATAGCTAAATACTATCGATCAACCGTAAAAATTAAAAAAATTTGTTTTTATCTCCATCTTTATTCACCAATAACTTTAAACTTGAGGTATAACTGAAAATGAAAGAACATTTCGACAAAATTTGACTTTTATAAGAAGTTCATTGAAAACTACATAATGGACATAAAAGAGCAATTTAAAATATTTTTATTAGAAAAGTGAGGTTGAAAAAAAAACTAAAAATCTCGGAAAAGAAATTAATGTAATAGAGAATCTAAAATTGCAAAAAAAAAAAATAAAGCATATTTCGAATTGATTTCAGTATATTCATTAATTTTGCTGAATAGAATGAAAGAAACCCATTTTTCAAATATCATTTACTATTAGAATGTATTTCTAATAGAATACTTCAATACTTCATTATTCTGAGTTACTGTAACTTTTTTACAACTTTACAACTTTATTAAACCGTCTTCCAAGTTGTCAATTACTAACTCCTATTTTACAGAAGAGCAATAAACTTTATGTTTCCAAAACGCCATTGAGGTATAAAAACAAGTAAAAAATCTTTTTAATTAATTAAGGTTTTTGGTAATATGAAATGATGGGATGGATTTTTAATTTATTTTTTCTAAGTAGTTAATTTTATTTAGTTATTACTTTTTTTTGTTAGGAATAAATTTGAAATTTTTTTGTGTGAGAGAAACATGTTATTATAGATTGTAAGGATATTTTTACACGCCTATTTTTATTATATTTAAGCCTATTATTTTTTTTTTCAAGTAAGGGAGTCTTGTAGTTTTTTTTCTTCTTGTGAAAAGCACTCTTGCTAACGAGAATTTGTGGAATCTTTTCGAAGGTGTCGTAAAGACTTTAAATAAATGATAATCTCAGGAAAGACATGTATTACATTTTTTGAAAATACATGCATTATTAATTTTACTGCACAATTATGTAAACTAAAGCTTAAAATCTCTACAAAAGTGACGGTTGTTGAAAAAATAAGCTTAATTTTGGCATTTTTACGAATGTTTATTTCATCGCTTAACTATAAACCGATTATAATACATACATTTGAATTATGTAAAAAATATTGAATGATTTGTATATTTTTCCTAAACTTAATTTTGACACTTAAAAAAGGAGAAATTTGAGAGAAAATTCGAGATTTTTAGAAAGGTCAAATATTCTCAAAATATTTTATTCATGATTAAATATTTTAGAAACTGTAATGCTTAAGCATCCATTTTTTAGTATTTTAATATCAGTATATTCAATATTCTTGCAATCATTTTTAATATTTTGATAAATGTGAATCATTTACCATTAAAAAGCTTGATGGAAGCAAACAAATCTTTATTATTATTTTGTAATAGTATAAATAATAATGCGTACATATATAGTATAAACAATATGCGAATATTTCAAATTACTAAAATACTCTAAAAATTGACAGTTTTGTCTTGATTTTATTTTAGTTCTATTTTAAATCTATAAGATATAATTAGGTCAAAAGCTGCTTTTATTGCGTTTATTACAGAAAATTTAGTTTCTTGCAGAAGATATATTCAATGAAACTTCTAAAAAACTTTTGCTTTGAAAGTAAGTTTTATGTTGCCTGCTAGATTAAGTTTAATATACCTATTGATATAAATAAGAGTTTTTCGTTGAAAGGGAAGCCGCTATTAAACCAAAATCTAAAACTGAATAGTTTAAATATTATTATTAATATTACTGAGTTATTGCTATGATGAATAACCTTAGGTTTGTCAAAAATATTCACTTTTTTTTGGATCAAAAATATCTCATTTCATTGATAATCAAAAATAATAAGTCTTATTCAGTACTAATTGTATTGAAATATATAACAATTACGTAAATAATTAGAATCTAAACTGAGATTGGCCTATTGGATATTCAATTTTTGACCCCTAACCATTTTGAGGAGAATTTTTGTAATAAAAATATATTTTTAAACATAAATATACTTTTTAGCTCCTTATTGTTAGAATATTTATACGAGGTCCCATTCAAGTATTGAGATTTAAAATAAACTTTTAGGAATCTATGAAGTTAAATGAATTATGAATTATGAAGATAAAACCCTTATGAAAACTTTTATGAATCTATAAAGTTTAATTTCCGTATCAATAAGAATAAATAAAAATTTAAAAAACCTAATATATTCCGCCTTCCCCCAAATATAAATATAAACATATGCCATATGCATTCAATAATACTTAAAAATCATTTGCATTTAGTAGCATTAAGTAGCATTTATACAAAAAAAAAAAAATGTTTAGAAATTAACTAAAAACTTTGGAAAGTAAAAATAGCGCATATGATATACGTAGCTGCTTATAATTCGGCATTGTTAATTTTTGAAATTTTTTTTAAGAGTAATGTAGTTGAGCTTCAGTTTTAGTAGTGTTTTTCGACAGGCAAAGCATTATACATTAAGTTTTTAATGTAGTTATTAAAAGCTTTTTAATTCACAATTCTTGTATTTTAATTTTTTGTGTGTATTTTGTAATGTAATGTATTTCGTTTCTAATCCTTTGTATATTCGTGTATTTTCATGTTTTCAATGTATCTCTTTTTAATGCGAATGTCGTTATTAACAGGAAATTATAATTTATTATTTCTAAATATAAAAAAAATTAAAATGGAATAAGAAAAGAAATATAAGTTTTTGCAAACTTGAATCTATATACATGGAAAAAAATATTATTAATAAAATTAGATATATACATTTTTTTGCCTTCGAAACGAAAAAATATTCAAATACTATGTATTTCTTTTTAACAAATTTATTCAAATTTTTATGACATCAATTGTCATAAATGGATGCCAACACTATCATCCCCTTTCTGAATACCTTCAAAGATTTATTTATTCAAGCGCCAGACAGGGTAATCGGTGCAAACAATCCAACAAACCAGGCCATTAACAACCGCCTCCTCTTCCCCCCATTCACCACAGGACACCAGCAGCATCCATCCAGAGCAATGTCTTTGATGCAATTAACGAATGCTACCGTGGATACGAAGCAGCGGTCCATAGGAATTCACTACTCCTAATTGCGAATCGCGAGAACTTTCTTCGATCGACCCCCTGGAAAATGAACTTCCCACCGACTCGATTGAAATGGGGAGATCGGATTGCCGAGTATGTACACGGAATTGTCCTTAATTCAGTGATCAAAAAGGACCAGTCGCCTGCGAGAGCTGTTCGAGTTGGTGTCTGAGTGGAGTAGCGGCAGGGTATTGCTAATGATGGCGGGTTATGCACATTCATTTACTGATGGAAATAATGAAAGTGCATCATCTTTTGCGATCATGAGATCCGATTATGACGTAGATAAAAATAGTGTTATTAAATTAATTGTTCCGTTACTGGTATTTTCAATTTGTAATGCATCTGAATTAGGATAAATGATTTAAAAAAAAAAACATGTTACTATTGTTCAGTTGTAAAAGTGTTGCCATTATTTTTTAATACAAATGTTAATGAAGTTAAGGTTTTTCATATAAAAAAACTCTATATTATTAAATTTTAAAATTTGAGAATTATCTTTAAAAAGAAACACTTTCAAACTAATGTGAAGTTCAAAAATGTTTTTACCAATAATGTAAATTAAGAGAAGTTCATGGCACAGCAGTTCATTTTGAATGTTAGAGTGTCAGCCCTGAGCCCAACGTTCTATTGTCATATTAAACCGTAACCTGTGGTTTAAAGTGGATTCCTAACCTCTACAAGCATCCATGGCCCTGTCGTGGACTCAAGCCCAAAACTTTGGCGTCGAGCACCACAGCTCTAGTCTCATTAAGTGTTAATGACTAAAATTTGAATAAGTTTTCCAAAAACAATCATTTTTTTCTACAATTTTTTTTTAAATACTTGAATATATATATTGCCATTTCAGCTAATAGATCAACATACTATAAACTGTTTATAAAAATTAATTTCAGTCATAGAATAAATTTATTATTCTTTTTTTTATATTTAATTTCAGTATTATAATAAATTTATTGTTATGAACGACATCGATATTTATATATAACGTCATTACATTCTTATAACGATTATTCATCGTTACAAGAATGTAACGATGAATAATTTATGAAACCTTTAAATCGATTTAATTCGTTAATTACACACATTTTTAGTTGTGGTTTCTTATCCCACTTGGCTGGCCAAGCCCACGAGCCCATACGTACTCATGATTGAAGGGGAAGGAAGCAGCTTCTGTTGTGATGGAGCACCCGTAGGTAGAAGTCTGACTTTGGCTCCGTCACGCTCTTACAGTCATAGGAGACCGGGACCTACGGTTTAAAGTGGATTCCGAACCACTACAAACATCCATGGCACCGCCGGAATTCGAACCCGAAACCTGTGTCACCGAGCACCAGAGCGCTAGACACTCGGTCATTCAGGTCCCAAATGTATGAATGCCAACGGAACGCGGGTGGTGGTCACCCACCCAAGTACTGACCGCGCCCAATGATGCTTGACTTCGGTGATCTAACGAGAACCGGTATATTCAGCATGGTACGGCCGTTGACATTACATTTTTAGTATAAACGAATAGTGATTTCCAAACAAAATATTCATAACTTCTATGCATTGTATGCCTCGCAGACGTCTATGCCTAAAACCATCAAATACTAACATAACATTCTACAGCACCTTTCAACTTCCTATTTTTGTAGGAGAGAACTTCATGCTTCATTCATACAATATTTTAAGAAATTATTTCTGCTACGTATAAGAATTTGTTTTATGGTTTTCTTCTCTTTTTTTACTGTGGCACTTGTCCCAAAAAAAAAAAAAAAAATCAAAACTTTAAAAACCTCTCGAAAATGGCTATTACACACGTAAAAAATATTTATTTTCCCCAAGATAAATTGACTTAAGAACAACAAAGCACGAAGAATAATAATAAAGCAAAATATAAAATCGTCACATTTTCTAGTTCTGGAAAATGAAATGAATTTTTCATAACGCGCGATGTTGCGATGTATGTATTGTATTGTTATTGTAGCATCATATTGTTTAGTATGGCCAGTAAACATACCATGGCTACCAAATACTTCTTGGCACGACAGAAATCTTGTGAAAAACAATTTGTATTTATTGCTCTTTCATTCCATTTGTTGACCAAAATGTGTTAAAAGCTGCCAACTCAGCATCGCGAAGCACTTTTTAGAAATGATAATTTTAAATCTAAACAAGTGCAGCTATAAAAAAGTACTCTGATTTCATGAAAGATCAATTTTTCAATTTATTTAAGTTCTTATTTATTTTTCTTTCAACTGATTAAACTTGTTTGTGCAAAGAAATAAAATCACCATCAACTGGTCTTTTTGCCATACATTTTCTCATAATAACGAAATATTCAATACATAAGACAATAATTAAAACACACCATAAAAAAGATATGAAATAATTATTATCTATTGCACATTGTATGCCTTTACATTTCAGGAATGAAATTTATATTTTTCTAGCATCACACCAGAAAAGCATTTACTTACGTTTCCGAATAAAATGCTAAAATATTATTACTTTTCTAGTAAAATATAGAAATGCTCTTTTTAAAATAAATGGAAAATGTTCCTTTATTTCTATAGAGAATAAAATATTTTTTTAAAAGTTATATAATGGCATTAAGTTGTTATGAAACTTTAAACATTAATAACATAAATGTTTATTCAGTAGATACTATTTATTGAATTTGTTACTTTGAAATTTGTTTAATTTCACTTAATGGAAAATGTATTTTTAATTTGAGAATATATATATATATATATATGGATGTAGTATATTTTAAAACGCAAATGATCTTCCATTCATAAAAACCTCATAAGTAACAAACTTAAGAGGTTTTCTTTGAGACATTACAAAAATCAGAATTATCAAATTCAGATAGACCTTGGCTATAATTATTTAGTGTTCCATTGCAGTACGTTACGTGACTAATTAAAAAGATAATGAGTACAGTTCAGCATCAAAACCTGCATCCATTATCTTCTTCCAGAAAACTAATTGCAAATAAGAGACATTTAGAGGCGTTTACAACTTTTAAATAGTTTTAGCGATTAATAATTATAATTAATAATTAGAATAATTGTAATTATTTTGTGATATAAATGTCTTGATGTTTTTTAAAAAACTATTTTTGGATTTTAGAGACCTATACTTCTTATATATCTTTACTTTTCTATGAATTTCATGTATATTTTCATATATTTCTATATACGTCATACAGTCATTGAACAACCTATCAGGTTTCATATAGTTGCATCAATAAGTGCCATAAATTTTATTTTAATATGATGCACATTTGTAAGTTCTCAATATACATGGTACATATTATTTTGAAGTCATATCCATCTCCAGTCTATAGATATATCTTATTGCGTTTTCCTTTTGAATCTCGTAATTTTCAAAATACATGGCATTTTTAGCATTGTATACTTTTGCGAAATTATCAGGATGTTTATTACAAAATTACTAAATTATTATTTTTAATCTTATTTTAAATACCATTGAAAAATTTTATTTTATTTTCAATATTAAATTTTATAAAGATTTGTTACTTGCATAATTGATTAATGCCTGCATATATATATATAATATATAGTTTTAGACAGTTTACATATTTAATGTGCGAAGGAAATATATTAATTTGAGAATGTTAATTATAAATTTGATTAGAATACATATTTCATAGAAATTATATAGAAAAAATTATAAAAATAACATGATTAGGATTATATATTTATTAAAATCAGGATTACATATTTATTTAATCATTAGGATTAAATAATGAAAATTTTATAACTCGTCAAAATATTATTACATTTATCGTTTGAATAAATATGTGGAGAGATACACTCATGTCCATAAATTAAGGACAATTCAGAATCACACAAAAATTGAACTCTAAAATAAAAATTTCACCTGTAGAATTATAACACACATCTTGAAGAAGAATATGCAAATTCCTAGAAACCACCAGATGGCGCGGATAGTACGTCACAATGACGAGAGTATAAGAGAGGGGTATATAAGAATGGTGGCAAAGAAGTAAAATTGTTCACAAGCGCTTTAAAAGAATTCAGTGCAATAACCGCATAGTTATGGCACAAAGGAAGCATTTGGATGATTTTTACGTAGTAGAATTATCGGACGACTGGAATGTGCACGTATCCAGCTGGAAGTATCCGAGGAACTCGGAATCGCCCAGAGTGTCATCTCCAGGCTTTGGCAACGATTCCAAGATGATGGTAATGTGAGTAGATGTTACAGCACAGGTAGCCCCCGAGTTACAACGCCGAATGACGACCGGCATTTAGCAGTTACTGCCAAAAGAAACAGATGGAGCGCAGCATCAGACCTGTCTCGTCAGCTCTCTTCAGCTACCGGTACGACAGTTTCAAGGCAGACCGTGTACAGGCGCTTAGGGCACATTGGAGAGCGCCAGGTACCCGTTACCACCAAGAGAACACCATTGAACGACACCGTTACGGTGGTGCAGGATGGCTCGTTTGGGGCGGAATTATTCTTGGTTCCTGAACTGACCTGCATGTTCAGAGTGTAACGATGACAGGCCACATCTATCGGGATGTCATTCTGGAACAACATGTACGTTTGTTTTGGGGCACCATGCGTGCTGAATTTCTGTTGATGGATGACAACGCCCGTCCTCACCGTGCAATCATTTTAGACGAATGCCTTCAATTGGAGGATATCGCCTGTATGGATTGGCCAGCATACTCACTGGACTTGAATCCAATAGAGCATGTGTGGGATATGCTTGGCCGACGAATTGCAGCCCGTCAACCCTCCCACCTGTCAACCGAACTTCGGAGGGCATTGCTTGATGAGTGGTGTAATATTCCTCAAGATAAGATTGATAATTTGATACTCAGCATGCCTAGGCGTTGTAAGACCTGTATTGCATCGTCCGGTAGACATACTCCATATTAACCATCATACTAACCATGTTATATTGTTTTTTGTAAATAGGTTTTTTTTTTGAAACTTGCTCCAGGGAGTAAAATCGCAATTTTTATTAATTATGTCAAACATATAGTATCTTTTTTTTGCTCTTTACCTTTTGTTTAATAAATAGACTTTACAAATAATTCAAATTTGTTTTGCTTCTGTCTCTTTTCTTTGCATGGACTTCATTATCCTTAATTTATAGACATGAGTGTATTTAATATATTATTATTAAATAAAGCTTTTTTATAAGTGCAAATTACATTTAAAGCTATTGCATAAATAACGATAGAAAATCCGTAAGCCACAAAAATTAACTTAGAACCTATATCTTAATTTATTTTTTTAAACTTTCGATTTAGATCTTGGGAAATTTAATAAGTAATTTAACTTGGTACTATTTGCAAATAAAATATAATGAGTCAAAATGGATGCGCTAGCAGTAAATGTATAATTTTAACTTAAATGGTTTATTTACATTATAAAAACAAATTCTTCTGCTTCCTTTAATAAAATATATTTAAAAATAAATCATTTTTAAAATATTTCGTTTATATATTTCTTTACCAAATAAGAAAATAAAAATGTTCCTTCCATTCTACTGAAAATAAAAAAAAAGACTGTTTGAAAAGTTGATCATGTGTTTTAAGGGAATATTTTACTTTCTTTGCACATGCTCCAGAGACTACTAGTAAATAGTAACAAAAAATAATAGTAACAAAATAATAGTAGTTTGAATAGTAAAAATAATAGTAGTTTAAATAGTAACAAAAATAATAGTAGTTTGAATACTTTATAAGTACTTTTAAAAGTACTTTTGTAAAAATATAAGTACTTTTGTAAAAATAATAGTAGTTTGAATAGTAACAAAAAAAAAAAACTATTGCAGTAAATCATACTTTTCTTAAGTAACATTTAGCAAGAATTATGGGAAACATGCTGTATAAAGCGTATAAAAATATAAAGTTATTAAACCATTTGCTCTAAAAATTTCGTTCTCGAAAACAAAGAAGTGCTTTCTAGAAGATCTCGAATATATTTTTCAGTACAAAAACTTCATAAATCAACGGAAACGGCAAAACCAAATTACTTTTTAATCACACTGATAAATTTATTTTTAGGAATAAAATTACAGTAAAAATTCTTTCTCAGTGATGCATAATAAAAGGAATAAAATAATTTATTCAAATTCAATATAAAAATATACTTTAAAATTATATAGTATATGAAATATTATATGTATTATGGTTTTAGACAGTTTCAATATTAAATATTTTTTAGAAGTATATGATTTTGAGAATGTTAGTTTTAAATTTGATTAGCATATAAATTTCATAGATTACATAGAAAAAAATATAAACAAACGTGATTATGATTGTATATTTGAAATAACAAATATCGTATTAAAAAAATTATATTTTGTCAAAAACATTAATATTGAAACTTACCGTTCGAGTAAATGTATGAAAAATATATTTTATATATTTAATTACAGGTAACTATTACTAATTAAAGCTTACGTGTAGAATTAACATGTAAAGCCATTGCATCA